TGTTATAATCCTTTCTGCCTAGAAATAACTCAGCAGGAGTTTTGCCCGTTGTATCATGTTTTGCGGTCCTAAGGGCGAAAGCAAATTCATTGACATAGTTATCCCAGCTTTTATGAAACTTTTTAACATAACTACGGATAATTTTCACTATATTTCTATTGACCCGTTCCGCTATATTTGATTGCGGCCGATACGGGACCATTTTTAAATGACGTATGCCCAGTTTTTGGCACATGTCTTCAAATATATTACTTACAAATTGAGGACCATTATCCGATATAACTTTTAGGGGCGCCCCGTATTTTAAAATATATTTATTTAAAATAGAATCAGTAACTAATTTCGCGGAGGCTCGTTTTAAGGGAACAATTTCGGTCCATTTACTAAAATGATCAACCATAACAAGGAGATAGCGACTTTTGTTTAACTGACTTTTTGGGAAAGGGCCCAATAAATCGATGCCAATTATTTCATTTGGAAATTCGGATTTAATACTATTTAGAAACCCGGCCGGGCGGAAATTAATATAATTAACGGCTTGACATGTTGGGCAGGACTGGACATACGCCCTTGTTAACTTTTGCAGTTCAGGAAAGTAGACTGCCTCTCGCGTACGCGTTGGAGTAGTTTTTTCGAATACCAGCATGAGAAGCTAAAGGGCTGTCATGGAGCTCTTGCAGGATATTTAATAAATCTAAGACTAGCTGGGATAACAGGTCGAAATTCGTTGTTGGAATTCGTAGTTTTTGTATAGAAATAATAGACCATCTATTAGTTCGTAATGGGCCGCCCTATTTCTTATCGCCACAATATCTTGGTGGCTAAAATTTTCAGGATCCTTCAAATACTCATAAATACTTCCAAACTCAGGATCCTTACCCAGTTCTGTTATTACAGTTTCTCGGGAATTTATTGTACAACGCTGTCAGCATTGCAACTTTTACGGTATTACCCTGTTCGTCTAATTTAATTCGTGATAGGGCATCTGCTACGATATTTTCCTTTCCGGGGGTATGCTTGATTACCAGATTATATTCTTGCAGCTTGAGTGCCCATCTTATTAACCTTGGGGATAAATTTTTCCCTGAGTACAATCTAGTTACCGCCGCATGATCAGAATATACTGTTATCGGCGCCTTTCCAAAATAGACTCGGAACTTTTGCACTGCTAACAGAACTGCAAGTGCCTCTCTCTCTCTCGGTCGCGGAATAGTTTTTTTGTGTTTGATTTAAAGTTCGGCTAAAAAATGCCACGGGCTGCTGATTTTGCGAAAGTAAAGTACCGCTCCCTACCGCATAATCCGAAGCATCCGCTGAAATTTCTAAATTTTCATCCTTTTCAGGAAATTTCAACACAGGGGCTTGCGTTAATGCTTGTTTTTAATTTTTCGAAAGCACTATTGGCTTCGGCCGTCCACGAGAATCTTGCCCTTTTCCTTCCTTTTTAATTTTAACAATGGCTCAGCGATAGCCGCAAAATCTTTTATAAAGGACCTATAATATGAACAAAGTCCTAGAAAAGAAGAGAGCTTCTTTGCCGTGTTTGGAGTCGGATACTTTTGTACAGCGATTATTTTTGATTCATCTGTCTCGATCCCTTTTTGCGATATTTTGTAACCTAAATATTTTAATTCAGGGGCTGCAAATTTGCACTTTTCGACATTAACTTTTAGACCGGCCTCATTTAATAAAGAAAACACCTGTCTTAAATCCTGTATATGTTGGTCGAGATTATCACTAGTAATAATGATATCGTCTAAATAGATAAATGTGGACTTTCCAAGAACAGGTCTTAACACAATGTCCATGCATCGCTGAAATGTTGCTGGGGGGCGCCTGAAAGGCCAAACGGCATACGCAAAAATGCATAAGTGCCAGACTTGGTTATAAAAGCAGTCTTAGGCACGTCCTCAAGGCCTGACCCCTATTTGAAAATAACCATTCGTTAAGTCTAAAGTCGTCATAAATTTGGTTGATTTTATGTTCCTTAAAATTTCTTCTATGATCGGTAACGGATATACCGGATATTTCGTTATGGAATTTTAATTTACGGTAATCAATAGCGAATCTCCACCTTTTTGGATGCTCTCAAAGGATAATCATTATTTTTCTTACATAAAACCACCGGACTAGCATAACTACTTGAGATAGGCGTTATGATCTTTTTACGTAGCATATCGGTAATATGCCATTCTATAATTTTTTCCTTATTCTTATCATACCGGTATGGTTTTTGACGAACCGGCAATGCATCTCCGGTGTCAATACTATGGTTAGTAACCTGAGTAAATCCTGGAATATCACTAAATAAGGAAGCAAATTCACTTACCCACTTGTCGGATTCTATCTTGCTCGTCATTAGGCAGGTGGTCAAGATTTAACCTTGGCGGTTCAACCTTTTCTACACGCACTGGTTTCATCGTCAGCTTAAGGGACGCTTCATTAAAATCCAGTGTAGCTTGTGCGTCTGAAAGAAAGTCTATTCCTAGGATTAAATGTGCTTGCAAATTCTTTACTATAAAAACATCACCTTTACTTGTTCGTCCTTGATACGGATGTACAAAGGTACTTTACCTACGCACTTACATTGTTCTCCTTGCGCCGCTAATACTGTTGTATTATCCGCATTATATATGCGGTATTTGCGAAAATACTTTCTAAAAAAGACTTCTGCCACACAGGAACACTGCGCGCCGGTATCCAGGAGTGCGGTGGCCGGGATATTATTTACCAAGACTTCAATCTTCGGAAGAGTTAAATTTTTCACCATTACTGTATTTAACTTGTAGGAAGAGGGGTTTTCGTGGCCTTCGGATTTCCGCACCCACCCTCTCGTCAGCAGAAATCCGTTTTAGTTTAAATTATTTTTTCCTTTCGTGCTTTCCTTCTTTCTTCTTTCACTGGCCTTGAGACTTTTTTCCTGGGTTGCTATTGAACTGTCGACGTTCGCCGGCTGTTTTTGAATGCTCGGGTTTCCTTGCCCACTGATTCGCTTTTTCTCCGTAGCCATGTGCTTGAGTTTGCTGTAGTCTTGGCGTACCAAATTGGTTTCGCTGTTGATATTGGCGTCTTCTTTCGACGTCCGCCGTTCTTCTACTTTCAAACTGGATTGCTAGCTCAAATAACTTTTCCAGTGTAGTCGGATTTCGTAATTCAATAAAGTCTTGCACTTGGGGTAGTAACCTCGGCAAAATCACTTGAATTATTTCAGGATCCGGACGGTTTCCATACAAGAGCTTGAAAACGTGAATTTTTCTTAAAATAAAGCTCGAGAGGTTTTCCATTCTTTGTTGATATATACTGAAAAGTTCTGTTTCTAATTTCGCACGATCCCTTACAACAGGGAAGGCTTTTAGTAGGGCAGTCTTGAAATTTTCGTAAGTATAGGTGGGACTTCCTGCTTGACCCAAGAGACTTCTGTTGATACATTTGAACCAGTTAAGCGCTTGGCCCCTCAAAGCGCTGGTAGCTAAGGTAACTTTTTGAAACTCGTGCACGGGGTAGAGCATGAAGTGGTCATCCAATTTTTCCAAAAAACTGGTTACCTGTGAGTTTCCATTAAACGTTGCTTCTGGTTTCATCGAAGCGCGCATGGTCTGGACGATGTACCCAAATCCTTCCAGCGGCAGCTGGCATTTCTGGATTCTGAGCCGTTTCTTCTGCAGGCAGCACAGGTTCTTCTTGAAATTCGGCCATGGTTATTCTTCGTCGGGGGCCACTATCAGGTTCAATGTTTCTTCTAACCTTCTTCGGAAACATACAATGACCTGACTAGAACAGAGAGCTTACTAAAGCTATGTTCACTAATTGTAGTATGTAGACAGGATACAGACGAAGGGTATACAAAACCCTTTATTTTTCTTTATATACAATGACTTCCGTACTTCGGAATACAATGACCCTCCACTCGGGGTCTAACGTAAAAGGTATAAAAATAAAACTAAATTCTAATTTAACTTTAGAATTACACACGTGTAAAATTGGCCTTATAATAACAGGAAGCGTATGTAGCACAGAGACTGTGAAACACTACAATACGTTTAAATTTATCAAGAGGATTAAAACCTCTGGCCTGGAAGGCAAATAGCAACTGCGTAACTTCTAAGGTAAGCGGCCTGCTTCGAACTCACTGCTTCCTCTCTCCTGCTTGGCAAAAAGGCCACACTTAAATACTTGGCGTTCGCCAGACAACTTTGCATAAAATCCTTCACGCTTATAATTCTGGCCGGAAGTAGAAAATAAGAAGTGATAGTAAAGATTTAAAATAAAATAAACGTTAGTAAAACTTAAGATCCTTACAAACTTATTTCATAAGTTATTTGAAAATCAAACTTCTTCCAGGTAAATTACAATAGAGATGGTTTTATATTAATATCAAGTCACCACTTAAAAAATTAAAGATATATTTCACTGTAAAGATGTCAATAATTAAATGTTACTACATTAATAGCATTCGTAAACATTTGATGAGTAGTTCCTATCCGAAATGTAACTAAAGAGCTTTATTGAAAACAAAATAAAACTAATCAGTTTAAAATTTTACAAACACTGAACAGATTATGAGGTAGAATGAATAGACTTTAGGGAAAACAGATAAAATTAGAATGATAAAAGCCTAAAAACTTGCAGAATAATATTCCTGTTCTCAAATTAAACGTTTTTAGTCTTGTTTATTACAGAATGTTACAGGTTTGTTACAGGCCACATAGTCTCGGGCAGCACAATGTACTCCCGTTTCCGAAAAATAAAATTTTTGCGCTTTAGTTTCAACCACATGTGGTATGATGTCCATAGATATGGCACGAGAAGGATACATGATCTAAATCTTGATGGCTATTAACATATCTTATTGATGGCTTGTTGGATTTCCAGTTAAACATAAATAACATGGCAAAATAGTAAAATTGTAGTTTTTAATGTGTTTAATTTTGTTATTCTTGCTACATTGTTCGAATTTTGGAAAGATAATTTAAGAATTGATTAAAGTTATTTTCTTACAGGATTTCTTTTAAATTTAACTGAAGGAGCTCCAGAAGGGATGTCTTCTTTCGAAAGCGATGATAAAGCGTTTGGAGATCAGAAAGTAAAACGTAAGAATTTAAAAAAGTATGTATCCAAAGTGTTCAAAGAATCAAGTGTCACCGCTGTTTCAAGCATTTTAGGGACTGTCGACATTCGACGGAAGGTTTTTCGGATGATAGTACTCATTCTTTGCCTTACAGGTTTCCTGTATCAATGCGTCAAATTTCTTGAATATGCTTTTCAATATCCTACGGATCTGGAGATTTCCATCGATAAACCGACATCTTTAGAAGTTCCTGCTTATACCTTCTGCAATGATAATGGGTAAGTGTGCTAATTTTAATTTAATTTATTAGCGTAATTCCTAAGTATGTGTATGCTCATTGATATAAATTTATATATATATATATGCTAATATAAAGTACGTAATGCATATAACATTCTGCAGGCACATATTAAATTTACTAGAAACAGTAAGCGTGTGTGTATACTATGTTTTCTCTGATCTGTTTCTCAATTATGATTGAAAATATGAATAAGCTTAATCTATATTTTTACTTTTATTAAGTAAAAATTATTAGTCTTAATTATTACTGTTAATTAGGTGTTATTGTGCTCAACTATTTGTTTTATGTTATTTCTTCCCTGAAATTTCTATTTCTTTTGTCATCATCCCTAAAATGCAAATTAAGTTGAGTTTAAATAATGAGTCAATCAATGACTACTGAGTCATCCATCTATGTGCCGATGTATATTTTATGAGTATTTTTGCACTTGTTAGTTTTCAGGTATAGAATCTGCGATAGTTGGAACGAAAATTAATAAGCTTTGAAAGTTGCTTTCGGTACCAAATATATTCCAATGTCTATATTTCTCTCACTCTAGAAACAGTGGGGGCTAAGTTTTATTTATTTAAGTTTAACTATACTACTTAGATGTAGCTTTTAATAAATTTTTGTACTTAAGTTTTACCTTTTATGTATATTTATGGAATTTTTGGCTTTTAGTTAAATATAAAGAAACACTGGAAGGTTTAACAGCAGTAATATATTAGCTAATAATATTTAACCTTAGAGATTAAATAGAACATATTCAAGCAAATTAAGAAAAATTAAAGATAGAATTAATCTATTATTATGAACTTTTTGAAGTCAATTAATTACATAAGTAAATAATTGCAAATTAAATAGGAAAATAACAGAAAATTCCCAGGAGAATAAAAGTTCAAACAAACATCAAAGTCAAATTTAAATTTCTATATGTTTAATGTGCTCCATATTTAATAGACTGTAAACTGATATCCAAAAGTTGAGGTTCAGAAGCATAATGCAAATTTTAGTGTAAAAGCATCATTGATGGAAATTTGCCAATAGCATTGCTTGATATAGTATATGTCAGATACCAATTATTTGGTGACTGTGCAAATTTGTTGAATCACAAGCAATATTGCTTTAGATGGTAAGCAGATGAATACTTAAATGGGGTAAAGGCAAGTTTATACCAAATGCATAATGTTCTTATAAAATGATCAACTAGTTTAAGCCAAAAAAGTGGAATTTAAAAAAATAAGAGGAGAAGATTATGCCATTAAACTCTAAACTAGTTAAAATTAGCAAAAAGTGAACATAATATATTTTGTTTCTATTTCAGAATTGTGCGAAGCAAATATTGTGCTAAATACCCTGATCACTGCACTTTACCTGATGAATTAGTCTGCAAGAAGTATCCAAAGTACTGCACAGCAAACAGTACTGCTTTGGTAAAGAATTCCTTTTCAAATTTATTCTAACTTTAGGTTTAAAACTAGACGCATTTATTTGTAGAATCTGGAACTGGGAATCAACCTTGTCTGTTTTCCTTTAAAATATTCTTGAAATAAATTTTAAATGCGTAGTAGGTTAAATTATTTTCTCTTGCGAGTTTGGAAAAGAAAGGCTGCAAGTCGGTAGATAGCTGTGTAAAGATCCTAAGTTTTACCAACGTTTATTTTATTTTAAATCTTTACTATCACTTCTTATTTTCTACTTCCGGCCAGAATTAAAAGCTTTAACTTATTTATGCAAATTGTCTTGCTAATGCCAAGTACTTAAGTTGTGGCTTTTTGCCAAGCAAGAGAGAGGAAGGAGTTATTGGAAGTAGGCCGCTTGCCATTGTCGTTTTACGAGTTTTCACTCGGTTGCTATTTGCCTTCAAGGCCAGAGGTTTAGTCCTCTTGATAATTTCAAACGTATCGTAGTTTTAGCTGCTCGGCGTACTACATACGGACCTCTGTTAAAATAACGGCCAATCTTAATGCTAGGCACTTGTATACTAATTCAAAGTTAGTTTTAGTTAAAGTTTTAGTTAGTAGTTTTTATGTTCTTACGTTCAGACCACAAGTGGTTGGTCTCTGTATTCCGAAGTTCCGGAAATACCTGTAAAGATAGAAAAATAAAGGGTTTCGTAAACCCTTCCTGTTTGTATTGTCTACTTCACAATTTATTGAACATAGCTTGAGTAAGCTCCCTGTTCCGAGTAAGGACAATTCATGTTTCCAAAGCAAGTCAAGAGGAATGCAAGTCCTGATAGCTGTTCTAATAATCACACTCAAAATCAAATATTTCTAATCAGAGGTCACCCTGATAGAAAATGGTCTAAATAACAAATATATTATGTGACATTTGTTTCTTTAGGCTGGTCATAAAATTCAAACTGAAATTCAGAATAAAAGAATTTTGTTTATTTGGTAGTTTGAAAAAGATTCAAGAATGGCAACGTTTTGGTTCGAATTAAAAAAAAACAATCAATCATCAACAGATGTCCATAAGCTCAAAAGACCAACTTTTATAGTCAAATGTTAACTAAAACTAGTTACAATGGAAGAAACGATTAGAGCGTCTGGAATCTGATACTGAAAAATATCTTATATACAGTTTAAAAGCATCTGTGTTATCTATCAGTTAAACTTGTGGTAAAGGAAAGAAAAATATTATGCTTTATTTTTCAATTCTTCTTTGGATGTAAGAACGAGAAGTAGAAGAATACTAGTTTTTAAATAATTAGACATATTTCTGTAATTATGCTTGGCTTTCTTAAAAGTATCTGATGAAGGGGGGTTTTAGAAGATGTAAAAGAGGATAATTTCAAACTTGCCGCCTTCAGCATGCAGTGGTTAGCGGAAGATGAATGTTAGTCCGAAACAAAGGGAACTCTCGACTTCTGTGTAAAATTGTATAGTCATCCTTTCCTTCTTTTCGCCGGAGAAATATAGGTCGCCTTCTATGTAACAAGTATCCTTTGAATATTACGAAAATCATATCACTATTTATTAAATTAAATGAAACGTCATTTCGAATAGGAAGAAAATATCAGTATGTCTGAAAGTCACGATGCAAGAGAACCTCTCACTGAGAATGAAATCAACTTTGGAAAAGGTAAAATGGATGGAGATACATTTACAATTCTTAAAGAAATGAACAAAGATTTGAGTATAATTATTTAAAAAAGAGTCTCCAAAAATCTAACAGATGCGCTCTACGAAGGACTGAATTAAATTATGGATTGGGTAAATAAGACTACTTTAAGGTTTGTGGAATTAAAAATTGTTGAAGAAGGTAAACTAGAGCATTTGATTACGAAAATTGGCGAAATGAAAAATATGACTAAATATCGAGAAAAAAGTGCTTTATTCGTAAAGGAGAATGAAGAAATAAAGAGCGAGAGAAAAAGAAGGAAAACAGAAAAAAGAGGGAATAAGATCAAGAACAGCAAGATTATGTAAAAGTCCAATAGCAAAAAGTTGATGCATATGAAGTAGTGAAATCGGCCAAAACTCTAGTTCAGGAAAACGTAACTGGAAATCAATGTTTTTAACTCGTATTGTAGAAAAAATGGAGATCTCACTGTGGAGCGTGGGAACAAAGAAGTTGGGTTATTAAAAAGAAAGGATTTTGCAAGCAGAAAAAATTAACCATCTTGTGAGACCAAGAAGGAGACCTAAATTAGTAGTCCGTAATGTTAGTGAAATCCTCCATGATGAATTGAAAATTGATTACTCATTTAATGGGCAAACGAACGTGAGGTGTCACATCAAGTAATCCAAGTTTCACCAAAATGCCACCGCGAGATTATTGACAACCAACGCATCCCTATCGGTTGGAAACCATACTCGGTACAGTTTACACTGACGTGACAGAAGAATGTTCTTCTAACCAATCGCGAACAATTGTGGTCCGGTGGCTTGGCGCATTGTCATCCATAAAAATCCCATCGTTGTTTGAGTACGCGAAGTCCATGAATGGCTGTAAGTGATCTCCAAGTAGCTGAAGGTATCCATTTCCAGTCAATGATCGGTTCAGTTGCACCAAAGGACCGAGTCCATGCCATGTGAAAACAGCCCAGACCATTATGGAACCACCACCAGCTTGAACAGTGCCTTGTTGACAACTTGGGTCCATGGCTTCGTGGGGTCTGCGCCACACTCGAACCCTACCATCAGCTCTTACCAAGTGAAATCGTGACTCATCTGACCAAGCCACGGTTTTCCATTCCTTTAGGGACCAACTGATATGCTCACGAGCCCACGAGAGTCGCTGCAGGCGATGTCGTGCTGTCAGTAAAGACACTCGAGTCGGTCTTCTGCTGGCATAGCCCAAGGAAGATAAATTTCGCCTCACTGTCCTATCGGACACGTCCCTCGTACGTCACAGATTGATTTCTGCGGTTATTTGACGCAGTGTTGCTTGTCTGTGAACATTGACAACTCTACGCAGACGTCGCTGGTCTCGGTTGTTAAGTGCAGGTGGTCGGCCACTGCGCTGTCCAGCATGGTGGGATGTTATGCCTGAAATTAGATATTCTCGGCACACTCTTGACACTGTGGATCTCGGAATGTTGAATTTCCTAACGATATCCGAAATGAAATGACCCATGCGTCTAGCTCCAACTACCATTCCGCGTTCAAAGTCTGTTAATTCTCGTCGTGCGGCCATAATCACGTCAAAGCCTCTTCACATGAATAACTTGAGCACAAATGAAAGCCCTGCCAAAGCACTTCGCATTTATACATTTTCTACGCGATACTACTGCCATCTGTATGTTTGCATATTGCTATCCAATGACTTTTGTCACTTCAGTGTATATAAATTCGAAACACTGCGCAACTGCCTAGGATTTGATCATTCAAAGAAATTTTTTAAAAACGAAGTCGTACGTGGAGTGTGCTCACTACATCATGAGAGGGAGGCTTGTCGCACAGAGAAGACATTGCGGCGTAAATTGTAAAGAGACAAATCCGAAATTTGGCTTGAAATATAAAGATGTGAAGCCCTCTTTCGCTACTGCAACGTCCTATCCGATAAGATTCAGTTTATTAAAGACCTCTTAGATATTTGAGTATTTCTAAGTTTAAATGATGCTATTACGGCACTATGGCCGGGACTTTTTTTATACTTTTTATTGCTCACCGTTTCAGTTAGGCATTTTGTCTGTCAAACATTTTGTAGGCCGAGCTAATAGTGACTTTACTTGAAGAAAAGACTTGCTTATTTTACCATACATACAGGATTCTGTCAGATACTCGTATATAGGATTTTATTGATTAAGAGGTTTAATTTATGTGAGCACTAACGTAATTAATGTCAAAATTCATTTTTGAAGCTGCAATTCATCTAAAACTTTTATTATCTAATTATCTTAAAAACAAACCCTTGCAATAATAATGATATAGTACAATAAGGACAAAGAAGAGGAAGAAGATACAGATTTATATAATAAACTTTATCTCAAGGAACTATTAAGAACTGTTATAAATTATGACTGTTAGCCTACTATTATTATACCTATTATAACTACTATAATTATATATAATAGATATGATATCAATCAAAAATGTCGATATACTATTTATACTGTTATATTATATTATATTATGTGTTATATTATACTATGTACTATTTTGAATATTAACTTTAAAAATAAACCGAAGTGTAGTGGGACTATACCTACGTTACTTATAGTAAACATAGGGTGTCCCACTACATTTCCACCTGAACCTGACTAAGAGGCCTGTACGATTATATTGATTTTAACTTTGAGAATTTTGCTGTTTTCTACGTATATATGGACCTTTACTGATTATTTTATGTATAAATCTTGATCATTGTCAAGCCTCAGCAGCTCAGCTCTCTGCGACAGGTAAAATACTTACACTTAACCTAGACATGATATTTATACAAGAACCGTACTAAGGGCATCCTTGTCTATACAAATTTGAGACTGAAGAGATCAAACATAAGGGAGTAGTCCATACACAAGGGAGGAGGACAGCCATAACAGTTGCACATTTGAACATTGATTTTATCGTCAATTGTGCCTCAGATGTTATTATATTTTATATTTTTCAGATATTTCTCAAAGCAAACTTCAAAATAAATTTAAATTGTGATGCTTCAAAGTTATACCTACGACAGAGGGTTCACACAAAATATGTTTATTTTAATAGTAAAAATAATGAATAAATATCTAATGATAATTAACTGTATCAAAGGGAGAAATTTACTACAAAAGAACTCTTATCCGCATTAACTGGCACCAAATTAAATCCGGACAAGTGGTATTTCTTTTTCTGTAGACCAAATATGTATTTAGTATAATGGGTTTTATTTATGGTTCATTTTTAACTTCGATAGCTTCGATTTTTTACTTCGAAGCTTATGTACTTGAATAAAATTTTATTCCCGTGAAAAAATGTAAAACATGATTTTGCAAAGTTACGTTTTTTATTTGCCTAAACACAACCCATTTCGATATTTATTTGCCAAAAATCACAATTAAAAATCTAACTTTTCATTTGCCTAATCAACGACATATTCGGTCTTTTTATTCGTCTGAGCATATAATCCAGTTCGATTCTTTTATTTACCTAATCATACAAAAACAAACATCACCCCACTTCAATTTTAATTTGCTGAAGCACGCAATTAATTTCGATCTACTGTTTACTGAAGCACACAACTCATTTCGATATTAAATAAGATCTCTTTATTTGCCTAAGCACACAATGCCTTTCTCTTCGAAAACAAAATATGATGTAGACAACATATGAATTCCTTGTACAGCCTATTAAATTATATACATTTTTTTGCTGCATTTTATTTAATTTTACTTTCTCGAATTTTATAAGGGATATATTTCTCATTCAATTAACTCAGTTCTCACTTCGCAGTAAGGCCAAAAATACATAAACACTCAAAACACCTTCATTAAAAATTGAAAATTTTAAAAAACATAAAATACCCAATACAATTAAAACATTTTAAAAATGTCTTTTACGATTAAAATTAGAGTTTCCGCTCAAAAACAACCAATTAAGCCAGTGAAGAGGGAGGCAGACGTTTTGGAGTACAAAACTTTACTTTCAACTTTCAAACAATTTTACTTTTGGTCCTACTTGGCGAAAATACACTGAAGGTGCAAAAACTTACTTAATTCACTATTTTGCCAAGTTGGAAATGCAAACAAATATGGAAACAAATATTAAATTTTGTTTAAGGCTTAATATCGCACTTAAAGAAATTTTAAATTTTTGATAATTCTACAACTATTGCATGCAGATTAACTAAAGCTACAAAACCCTTAACCGGAACATAAGAGCAATTCAATCACTTTTTAAGCAAAAAATGCACAATTTATCAAAATATAAGAATAAAAAAAGAGCTCACCGAGCTGAGCAACAGAGTGGGCATATATGCATATTTATATACTTTTGGTCCGCCAATTTGAACCAAAAAGGGAAGTGCACAACTTCCTTTTTTGTTATAACAGTCCTGGATACAAAATTTCAACGTTCTGAGCTTACTCGTTTTTCAGTTATACGAGATACATGCATACTACGTACGTATAGACGTCACGAAAAAATTCTCTTCTGAATCTATTATAAATCCATTTTATAACCCGTTTTGGGAAGAAGAGTTATTTATTGTGTCTTTAAGTATAGATGTTATGCAAAACATCCTTAAATTGCATTCGATAGTGATCAAAATGGATATTTCCGTTGAAATATGATACGCGAAAGTTTTCGCGATTACAATATTTTCTTTACTTCGTACAAGGAAGTAAAAATCATAAAAATAAAAAATAAAATAAAAAATAAATAAATTTTTATTTATGCGAGCTCTAAAATAAACAATAATTTTATTTTAATTTTTACTGTTAATAAAATTGTTCAAAAATATTATTTTATAACAGACCACGTAACTTAATTTCTGTACAACTGAAATTAATTCACGCAATATTTGTTTTGATCTGAAATAATAATATTAAAAATTTAATGCATTTGTGTAAAAGATAACAGTGGCTAATACTGTGAAAGATCAACATGCAATATTAATTTCTTTCTTGCTAATGCTTTTAAATTATGTTTTTGCCAAATGATTTGTCACAACATATTATGAAATACTAAGAAAACATAAGTCTTTTGCCAATTAATATGTAGCGATGTATTACTCATATGAGATGACATATTTTTAAACTGCATGTCATACAGAAATATCTAAATTGATTTTGCGTATAACTTCTTCAAGAATATACTATACCATTCTACTTTCTTTGAGAAGACTATATATGTAAAGACGAAAAAATTTGTTTTGTTAGTTAATATTTTCTTAGTACTTGAAATGAGCTATAACGTTTTCTTTGCTTTCAAATACGGCAGGCACAAAGCGAAATTAAGTGAAACGTTTCCAACTTCTCATTATTTTATTTATTTATTTATTTTCCCTATGTCCCCCGCCATTCGCTGATTCATGAGTGAAACCTAACAAGTCAATTATTTCTCCCTGTTGAATAACAGAGCAAACACTTAAGCTGATTTTCAAAGCAGTCGCCTATTCTGCATTTCTAAGTCAAGGCCAATCACACAAATTGCTAATTGAGCTAACAGGAGGAGACTGGATAATTGCAAAAGGTCACAATCTATATGAATCATGCCAAGAAGATAGCTATTTTCTAGACTGTATAATTCTGTAGCCATACACATTATTCTTTAGAGTTTTGAAAATTATTTTCTGAAAAAAATTTGTTTCAAAGATTATTTTTTGGCAAATTTTGATTACGAAACTGTAAATGCGTTTTACTGTCAAAATATAACAATTTAACCCTATTTGCTAATACTAATAAAAATAATAATGAATATCAAGAAATATTGCATTAAATGTTCTGAGACTTAATTGCATGAAAGCAATTTAATATGGAAAATAAGACCATTTAGCTATGTAACTTGAGTCAGGGAACAAAACCAAGGGTAAACAACACACGAGGTACAAAAGATAAATAACAGAACAGAAAGCAACTTTACAATGGAAAAAGTAAATCATAAATGGTATTAAAAAGGCAGTTATCATCGAGTTCAAAGATTAAAATGATTTAACAATGATTTAACATTGACAAATAATGTTTATTCATTCCAGATTGTCTGAAATTAAACTCTGTTTATTTAAAAACTCCACAAATGCTACGATATCATGTGTTAATATTGTTTGTTATTATACCATGCACTCTTCTTCTCTATATTATATACTCGTATTTTCCATAAGCAATTTTGTTGTATGCTGGTCGTTTCTGATAGAAATTTTTCCATTGCTACGCAATTAACAAATTAATTTTTCAGACAAGGCCCAATTAATCTTTAACCCGGCTAATGCGAGTTCAGTAAAACGAGAGTTGATTGTAGAAAGAACGTGATTAATCTTACAACTGTTCAAAAAGAAAAATTAGCTTGTTAAAAGAGTCATACTTTTATGGTGTTTTCATTATTTTCCAGATGCCAAAAAATGAATATTATGTGCCGGATACAGATATGACGCTGGAAGAAGTTGCAGAATTAGGCCATAATTTGAGTGACTTTCTTCCTTCAGCTTCTGCTGGTTTCAATAAGTATGTAAATATTTTTGTATATTTGTGTAAAAATTTTCAAACAAAGTTTGTTCAGCGTTTCGAGGTTTACAGTAACAAACGTAGTGACTGTAGGTTTTTAGGAGCAGGAAACATGAAAAATCAGCTGTGTAAAATCTGGTATTCTAACTGTGGATTCTTCAATATTAGATGGACGTGCTAATCATGTACACTACGACAGCGCATATAGGGCAATGTGATAACTCCTTACATCCTCCTCCACTGAACGGGTAGCTGAAGAGAGGCACTAGATCCAATCGAACAGTTTCCAGACTATACCGAATTCTCGTTCACCACATGCAATTCGGGTGCCACTGTCTAACTCGGGTTTAACCATTCAACAGGGTCCATATTGACTTCCTGGGGTCAATAAAATTTTAAACGGGGTTAATGATGCTCAAGCGGTCGATTCGGGATCGATAGCTAAATACGTACCGGCAACTGATCGGCGTAATCAAAATCCCATTGATTGCAAAAAAATGTTTAAAATAATCTCAGTGTTCAAATATGAAATGATTCGTTTCTTGATAAAAGCATTATTTCTTCTACAGCTTCTGCAGCCAACTATTTGTTTGTTTGCACTGTACTGCAGGAAACACACTGAACTGCCTGTGTCGACAGTGTAATAATAATTTATTGTCAAAAGCAACTTCGTTGATTTAAACTCCTTTACTCTCAACATCATTGCATGTTCATATGATATGAGCACTTGATGCCCTCTCTTCATTCGTCTTTATGACGAGATGACCGGTCTTCCTGGTCTTTCTGAAACAATAAGAGAGATGTATAGATATATAGATAGATAGAGAGACGTATTTATGTTTGCTATGCTTGTGTGCCATGCGTATAATAACTTGGAAGCAGTTGATGGCTTAGTAAGTGCATAAATAAGAAAGTTGCAGATGTAGGCGAATTCGATTATTTCCATTCCATTTGTGGTTGACACTTATTTTTCGTAAAGAAAGCATAAATAAAATGGTTGTTATTGTGCCCTTGATCTCAAAGAACTTTTTAAATCGGTACCGATAGCCTCATGAAACATATTTCTGAAAAGACCAGACATCGGCAAGTTGACAGTAGAAAGCTTGGGAAAGTGAACATTGACAGAAAAAAGCTTGGGAGAGAAGGGTAAACAAATTTCTGTTCTCAATATAAATCTCATTCTGTGTTTGGATGAAAGGATCTGCATTGCAGTGTTATGTAATATCGGATGACGCGAATTGATATATTATAAATAATTACTAATTTTAGGACAGAAAAGGGAAATACCTAAAGTACAATGGAGGATAAAAGGGGCTTTTTCCAATTAAAAGCAGAACTTCATTTTCATATATCGCATATTTAAGTAGTTATCATATATTTGCGCATATTTTCGTGTATTTAGGTTGTTTTATATAAATACATATTATAAAGGCGAATTTTAAAAATGATTTTTTTTCAGTTCGAGTTATATACAGGTTTTAAATTTTGGATGAATTTTTGCAACAATGTCCTAGCTCTCGGCATGTTCACGAATCAACACATATTCAGAAATATAAAATATTTTTTGGGCAACTCTGAATACGCATTCATAAATATATAATATGTTTATATGCAAGTTGTTGAGGCAAAATTCGACAATTTACTTCGTGGTAAAAGGTTCTGTTCTGAAGGTCACAGGACAGGACACGTAACAGAAGTTCGGTTAGGTCCTCGCATTCTTCCTGACTTCTGTGTTAATGTAAAATTGTTGATAAATAAGTAGATAAAACCCTTATTTTTCGCTTCCGATGATCGGAAATGATCATCGACTTAAAAAAAAATTGATTTTTGATATATTTTCTTGTCAGAATATATTTTGGATTGGATTGGATTATTTAATTATGGTACAGCATACGAGGGCTATGTGCCTAAGGAAAGGTATGCCTTCGTGGAGGACTTTCTAAGGGAAACTGTCTCGTATACACGTTACACATGAGGAAAACCACGAAAACACCCATGCAGCCAGCCCGTTCGCGGGATTCGAATTTCCAGAATATATTTTGAATCAAATTAATTGTATGTGAACAAAACCACTAAAGCTGTTTAACTGTTTTTAAAGAAGTTATGGAGAATAATTATTTGAATATGTAAAAAATGATGTAAACTTTTTGGTAGTTCTTAGCTATGAAATATAAGTAAAGGAAAGGATTTATATATATATATAAAAAAAAAAAAAAAATCAGATCTTTATACTTAAAACTTTTGTCTAAGTATGTCAAGAAGTTTTTTCTTAGGTAAAGTGATCTTTTTAAGTGATTGTTTGTTTGAGTATTCAAATAAATTTGAAGAATAATGCGATGTTTTCCTCTTTTATTGTAAAACTTGATATTTTAGGCACATTCCTCTCGAAAGCTTTCACGGACCTTTTTTGAGGGCAAAATCTATCTTTTATGGAAGTCGTGTGGGATGTTACAGTCTGAATTCTCTGGCTGACAGCCCAGATGAGCCGGAAAAAATGCGCATACAAGAGATGTGTGAGTATTTATACTATTGTTAAATGCAGTATCTTGTATCCTACGTTTTTATCTGGCGGGGGAGGAGTTTTACAGAAGAAATCGATAGTGCGCTTGAAAATATAATTTTTCGAAAACGTAAACGGGTCACAGTCTTGAAATAAGATACGAACGCTCTAATTTTTATTCGTACTAAGTGCAACATTTTCAGACACATAATGATATTTTCGTGGTTATATGCAAAAGCATTGTGGCAAATACATCGCAGGCGAAAACACCTTGCAGAAAACAACGAGGAGAAAGTCATCTTACAAAACACTCATGGGGTAAGGGAAATAACTTTGTACTCCAAAACCACAGTGGTAGAAAATAAAGTGATTCGGAAATTTCGAAGTTTTAAAACATCGTCATAAAAATATGGTAGATAAAAATAAAGCAACTACAAATCAACACATGATGAAAACATCACATACATGCGTTTTCTGAAAAGAATTTTAATAAATTTTCATTTAATGATTTATGAGCATAAGAAAAATAATAGTATTTTAAATCTACATTGCATATTTTTTTATTAGTTAACAAATTTTTACTAAAATGGGGAGAAATAAACTTAAGTATTTCGTTAAGAGATAAATACAAGATGATTCTAAATTGTTTTTATAAATTAAGAGGGTTGATAGTACTCATCCAGATGAGCAATAATTACCATAGAACTTAGGGACGCATTCCACTCTGAGATTCAGAAAAGAGGAATATTAGAATTCCAAACTGAACTTACAACAGTGTTGGGAGAGCGAACGAACGAGACGAAAAGTTACACAATCAGTTTAGTGAACAAAAAACGGATAAAACCGAAAACTTGACTTTCGCGTGTTAATTGGAGATCAGACTTTGATGGCAAACACTAAAATGCGCATCTTTGGTTCGCAAGGTCTCGCAAACGATTGCAAGAAGTTAACTATCTAAATTCTTGGGGGGAAATTATCTATTAGGGTATAAAACTGCTACTTTGATATCAAATATCCAAGGTAGCAGGTTTTTTTCCCTTCGCCATCTTGTATCCTGTCCTCCAGGCCTTACTGTGCTGGGCTCATTCTACTTGAAGCGCCCTTCTATGGGATACGAAGTTCAGACAGTGGGAACACAACATGAACTTTTCATGCTGATCTCGGCATACAGCGGAAGTTGGAGTTAGTTGATAATACCAAAATTTACACAATCTTTTAATTGGATAATTAACTTGTTGCAATCGTTTGCGAGGTTGACACCTTGCCAACCAAAGATGTGCATTTGAGAGTTTGCCATCAAAGTCTGAGCTCAAATTAACACTAGAACGCCAAGTTTTTGGTATTATCCGTTTTGTGCACTCTTTGTGAGTTTTTCACTGAACTGATTGTGCAGCTTTCGTTCTTGTTCATTCGCTCTCCCAACACTGTTGTAAGTTCAGGTTGAAATTCTAATATTCCTCTTTTCTGCCTCTGAGAAAGGAATGCGACCCTATGTTCTAAGGTAATTATTGCTCATCTGGATGAGTACTATCACTCCTCTTAATTTGTAAAAACAATTTAGAATCACCCTGTGTATCAGAAATTTCCATTAGCCTGAAAAAAGGGTCTACTTCAAATACATAAATAAAACATTTCATGACAAGAAATTAAGTTGCATAAAAAGTTTGACCCAATAAAAATCAGCCTCCAACAAACTACTATTGCTTAACTAATTACTAAAGTTATCAGCTAGATTTAGGTGCAGCAACTGCGTCTTTATTTTCATAAATGGAGCTCACTGAATTCACCAGTCACAGTCTGAGTAATGTTTGCGGACCTAAAGTTGAACTATAGTTTTGCATTTACTTTAGCCCTTTCCCCGTCCTCTCCTGTCCGCGAAAATTCCCCCCCCCCCAGCTGCCGTCTGTTTTTCGTAGCGTGTAATGTTGTTTTCTCTGTACGTCATAAACTTTCCATTCATGACTTTCGTAGTGGATGAATGTCAATGAATATTAAGTAAAATTATAAGGAAATAAAGCATAATGGAAAAATAATAATATGTCTGCTTATTTCTAACAGTAGGATAATTTAATAACTTTTGATCCAGGCGGACCATTTCTTCCATTTTGTTGTTGTAATCTTTTACAATTATTAGTTTTTTTACAGTTCTTTTCCGTGTTCTAACATCAATCATCGAGTTATTATGGACTGTACTCATCAAACGTATATCTTTCTTGGCTTTCCAATTCACAACCTCATTTTTTCTCTTTTTCTGCTGAGTAGACGTTGAAGTCATCTCTCACTGTCTTGTATCTTATGTAAAATGGCGCGAATATTCATAAAACCCGGGGCAAGTTGAATCAGAAATAGAATGCCTGATTAGTGCTGCCCTCTAGGAGGTATTATAACAAACAAAAATAAAAACTCAAACAAGTAAACATTTAGAAAGCGTTTTAAAATGTAGAAGAACGCTTGAGGCGGGTTACGGCTGCCCTGCGGAAGTTTCACTTGAACGCGCTAGACGCGTTACGGATGACGAAGAGGTTAGCAAATAAAATAGGACTATAGCATTGAAGATTGAATCTATAATTATGTCCACAATACTCCTTCTTAATCTCACATTCAAAAGGGAAAAAAACTAAAATAATTTTAAACCACATAAAAGTAAGTGTTCATACAGTTTATACTTAGATAAAATTTATTTAACAAGCCAGCGGTTTGTGAATTCGAATAACTCACTTTTGATATTACATACTTCAGTGTATCACGAAAAAATTTCAGTTTAGTTCCTGTATATTTAACCTATCGAATTCTGCTTATTAAATATGCGCTTAATGCCCGAATGATTATCCTCAATCACTGTGATATTTGCAGTACCAACAGTTTCACAAATTGCAGCTTTGAGCCAGAAAACATCTTGAAGACCTTTCTCGAAGGCACTCAGCTTGAATTCAAGATAAAGTTGACCAGTTTTGCTTTCTGCAACACCATAGTATAAGACAATCATTCCGCTTAGTTTCTATTTCAGAAGAATAGAGATTCTCGAAAATATGTACTACTTTCTAAAATTTTGAAGTTTACAAATTTTCTTCATTAAACTTGATGTTTCTGGGTACCTCAATATGCTTTACTATTGGATACGTTAAACGATACGCCATTTTCTAATAAACCACAAACAACAGTTTCTTTGAGCTAGTTTCGATGACAAGCATGTATAAGCACGTCACCATCGCAAACAAATGTGCAAATATTTTTCAAATCATTATCTTTATCATGTTTTAAGCAATAAAGGGTACAGTTCTCAATAGAGCTATTAGGAATTCTGTTACGAAGATAAACTCCGGTTAATATGGCAACTCAGCAACCTAAATTCTTTCTGCAATTTCAGTTAGCGATAAAACACTTTAGAACATGCATCAGTTATAACACCACATTTAGTAGCAGATTTAAATAAAAATGAGTATTCTTTAGCACTGTTTTTGAGTATTCTTTAGAGCTGTCACGTCTAATTTTACTTCAGGAATGTTTTCAGCTCGTCGACGGCATAGCTTTTCCATTTCAGAAACGAACTTCAGTAAAACGTGAAAAATAATTTATTATTGTCATGAAGTAATTCTCACCAGCTGGAGTAATTGGACAGCATACATCTGTGTCTGTCGCTGTCATTGATTTCTATCTCTTTGCTTCTTGCTTTTTTTATTCACTGGCTTAGTACTCTGTTAGGCTGGAGTACAAACTTCTTCTGTGCTTGGAAGTTCAGTACAAGACTCCAAAAGTAATAAAGTCTGCAATGCCACAGATCACTATCTTTTTTTCACTAATAACAAAATTTCATAGTCGAATACAAAACCAGAAACATATTGGTCGCGATAGTAATGATAACCAAAACGTATGCTGTTGCTTCTGTAACAGTAAAAACTTTTTATTGTTAAATATTACACTAAAACCTGCGACTTCAATATTTCGCACTGAAATTAATTTACCATTCACGTATGGCGGCTCAAAAAACACATTTTTGAGAGTTATTTGAGCAGCACTGGGTGTTTTTCCAGAAACGTGGTCCACAACTTCCACATGTAAAATAAATGAACGCGATGTACTTTGCACACATCCTGACTTAAAAGTGAACAAAGGAAACCATTCTTTAAGCTGACACATCTGAGTAGTTCCAGAGTAAATATTAAAAGTTCTGGATGTTATGTTGCCCGCAGTAAAAGAAATCAATGGTGAAGCTCACGTCTGTTCTAGTTTAGCGGCCGATTCCAATTACAGGACCGTTTCACGTTCCTGTGTTTCCCACATTAAAAGTATAGAATCTTCTTAATTTGTTTTGTAGTATGTCCTTGATTAAATTCGCACTACGTTGATTTTTTAACGCAACTTTTATACTTTCAAACGCTGAGTCATCAAAATATAAACTATTGTATCCATGTCACTTACTTCCGCACCAAGTGTTCATTCAATCCGCTACTAGTTTCTTTATTTAATCGAGATGCTGTCTCATAGGAATTAAACGAGTCTTCTTTATAGTTGTTTCCTGGTTGTGTTCGCTGCTTCAGATTTATTTATAAGGTATTTCTCCCGCCTTCTTAGCATGCTTTCGTGATGTAGTGGTCAGCACACTTGGTGCGTATTCCAGAGGTCTGTGGTTCGAGTCCCGGCGAGGGCATTGCTCATTTTTCATGTCTTCTGCTTCGAAATAACCTAATGTCTCTATAATGAAATTTTCCCGACATTTGTTTAGCCGACATTTTCCAGTGCAGTACACTGTAAAAAAAAATCTGTAAGGTTACTAAGAAAACTCATGGAAACTGGGATGCCATGGGTTATTTGAGTAACAGCAACAGGTGTTTTCTTTGCAACTTTACAAGAGTTTTGCCTGTAATGGTTACAGATCTTTTTCTTGTAATATCACAGCATATAGTTATGTAAGTAGAACATATTTTTCTCATGTAAAATCCCAAACGATATATCTGTAATGGTTACAGATTATTTGCGTGTAATATTACAGCAAATAAAAATGTAAAAAGACAT